GATCATGCAATACATGGCCTAACATGCTCTTTCACTACCTGTGCACTCTGTGCTCTACCCCGCACATGTAACCATTCCCATACCTCATGCTTGTTCATGTCACCCCCTTTTTTTTTTTGGAGATGGAGTCTTGCTCTGTCACCCAGGCTGGAGGGCAGTGGCCTTATCTCAGCTCACTACAACTTCCACCTCTGGAGTTCAAGCAATTCTCCTGCCTCTGAGTCTGCCTCAGCCTACCAAGTAGCTGGGACTACAGGCGCATGCCGCCATGCCCAGCTAATTTTTTATATATTAGTAGAGACGGGGTTTCACCGTGTTGCCCAAGCTGGTCTCGAACTCCTGAGCTCAAGCAATCCACCCGCCAGCCTTGGCCTCCCAAAGTGCTGGGAGTACAGGCATGAGCCACCACACCTGGCCCACCCTTCTTAAAACACCAAAAAGACCTGTCCTCGGGGAGCCAGCTAGAGAACTCTGCTCCAGTGCTATCTCCTTTGTGTTCAAACATAAGCCCCTCACAAAGCCTTGTTTGCAAGATTTGCATGGTCTTGTGTCAGTTGCCATTGCTGGCAGCCTAAGCACTGTGGTCAGTAATCAAAGGCGCCAGGAATTCAGCTAGGAATCACTCGGGGCACTCCCTGGCTGAGTCTCACTCCCTGAGAAAAGGCAGTCATCTCTGAAACACTGTCCTTGGCCTTTCCAGAAGGAAGAGCAAGTATGACATGGGAGCACAGGAAATGGCCAATGTCCAACCATTTTTGACCTACCTAAACGGCAATTTCCTCTGGTACAATCTAATATTAAAGTTCCATTATCTGGCAAAAGGAAAAAGCTGTTGAGTCACTGGTTGGTGATATCCGAGGAGGGCGGACCCAGGACCAGTCCAAACTGGACATCCAGGTCAGCTGTGCTGGTGTGGACACTACCGAGCAGAAAGAAGTGCTACTATGGTTAAGCCTCACCCCAGGAGGCTGGGATCATTCTCCCTCAAGAACCCGGGAGCCTGCACAGGGATGGTCATCAGGGAGGCACCTCCCAGACTCCGGGCAGTTGAACTATGCTGGGCTAAGTTACAACAGCGACACCACGTGGCAACCGGAAAGCAAGGCAGCTGAACTGATGGTACCCTGCACTCTTCCTATTGAAGAATTTACCTGCTTTGGGGATGTGTAGACCCCATGTTCTAGAATAATTTGGAGGGAGGGAAGAGCCTCAAGGAGAAACAATGGACTTTCTACTTCTAAAGTAGGTTACATCATGCTCCAAGCCTCAGTTTCCTCATCTGTAGAGTGGAGACAATGCCTGAGCAGAGGGACCTTTGGGAATATAACACATGCATTCTCCCTATTCTTCCCTTGCTCCATGCCCAGCAGGTGGCCACTGCAGGCCCTTCTGTGTTTTCTCCTTCTGGAGTTTTTCCAAGTAGAAAACAGAAAGAGTTGCAGGTCAATGGATCTTCCCACCTTTCGTAAAAGCTTACATCCTCCGAAGAGAAAATGCCGGTTGTCCAATGAGGCCAAGGGACAGATGCCTCAAGGTCAATGCGCCTGACAGTGGAGAGAAAGGGCCCTGGGCAGTGGGGAATCTCTGAGAGTCCCTCTCTACCTCTAGACCATGTCCTTGTGCTCAGAGTGGAAAAAGCAGGAAGGGTGCTCAAGGAAACAGCCAAGGGGCTCCCAAAGCCTCACCAAAGATTTCTTCCTGCCTGCAGTGGCGGAGAAGCAGCACGGTGGTCACTGGTATCACAGGGAAGGTGCTGGGGTTAGGGAGGGAATGGATGATGGCCTCAATGCAGCAGGCTCTGGAGAGGGCAGTCTGAAGGATAGCTGCCCTGGGTGATATGGTTTGGCCGTGTCCCCACCCAAATCTCATCTTGAATTCCCACGTGTTGCAGGAGGAACCCGGTGGGAGGTGATTGAGTCAAGGGGGCTGGTCTTAAACTCCCTGCACCAGCTCTCTTTTCTTTGCCTGCTGCCAATCACATAAGGTGTGACTTGCTCCTCCTTGCCTTCTGCCATGATTGTGAGGCCTCCCCAGCCACGCGGAACTGTGAGTTCTTCATTAAACCTCTTTTCTTTGTAAATTGCCCAGTCTTAGGTATGTCCTTATCAGCAGTGTGAAAATGGACTAATACCCTGGGGATACTCACCAGCCTGGCAGAGTAAGGACTCAGGATCAAAACTGAATATATTTTTTAAAAATGCAATGGGGCCAGGGGCAGTGGCTCACACCTGTAATCCCAGCACTTTGGGAGGCCAAGGCAGGCGGATCACTAGGTCAGGAGATCAAGACCATCCTGACCAACTTGGTAAAACCCGGTCTCTACTAAAATACAAAAATTAGCTGGGCCTGGTGGCATGTGCCTGTAATCCTAGCTACTCGGGAGACTGAGGCAGGAGAATCGCTTGAACCAGAGAATCAGAGGTTGCAGTGAGCTGAGATTGTGCCACTGCACTCCACCCTGGCAACAGAGTGAGACTCTGTCTCAAAAAACATTAAAAAATGCAATGATCTATTGCTCACACAGAGCATTTGGCACAGTGCGGGCACCCATATTGAAATGAACGTTAAATGCTCTTTATCCTTCTTGGTGATGCCAAGGACGGGTGACTCACTGAAACTGCACACAGGAGCCTGCTCAGTCAGGAGCGATGGACTCAGGACTGGACCCACTGTCAGCCCTTGCAGAGTAGGGGGCCTGTTCCTTCTTGATAGATGGTTTCTGAGTTCATACAGTGCCCTGCACTACAGACACACATTTATGGAGGAGAGTCGTGTTTTTAATTCTGAACAGGAAGCTGCTTTTTTGAGCATGTTCTTGGAAGGAACCTCTTTTTTTTTTTTTTTTTTTTTTTTTTGAGGTTGAGTATTTCTCTGTCATCCAGGCTGGAGTGCAGTGGTGCGATCTTGACTCACCACAACCTCCAACTCCCAGGCTCGAGTGATTCTCCTGCCTCAGCCTCCTGGGTAGCTGGGATTACAGGCACGTGCCACCACACCCAGCTAATTCTTGTATTTTTAGTAGAGACGGGGTTTCAGCATGTTGGTCAGGATGGTCTTGATCTCCTGACCTTGTGATCCACCCGCCTCAGTTTCCCAAAGTGCTGGGATTACAGGTGTGAGCCACTGTGCCTGACCAGAAGGCACCTTTTTTTATGCTCAATTTGCATGCCAATGAGACGCCATTCTTCCAGGGAAAAGTAATAATTGACTAAAGCTGGGGAACAAGCAACAAAAGCCCTTAGAGCCGCTGCTCCTCTTCAGCGCAGCTGTGACACAGGCCTCGAGCGATTCCCAGGCCCCACCAGGAGGGAGACAGGAGAGCTGGAGCCCGGGCCTCAGCCAGAGTGCCCTCCCCTGTGTGGGATTCCAGAAAAGACAAATCCGTTCACTAGTTTCATAGTCATCTGGAGCCAATTTAGAGGTCTCATTAGAACCAAAGACTAAACCTTTGTCCTGTGACCCTGATGAAAAGTTCATAGAAATGGAACAGCCACGGGGGTCTGGGGAGGTAAAGGAGGTACCATCTTTAGCAGAGAAGAGAGATCAAAGATGCTGTTTGAGACATCATTCTCCGATTCCCTCAGCAAAAAACACGCTGCCCCATCTGATTGCCTTTTCCCTAAAGAAATCCAGAGCTCCTGCCAAGATGCCCCAAGTGCCTCCTCTGGAAAGCCACATTGCATAAGCCACCCAGAAAATAATGACCCCAGCATGGAAATTCCTGCCACCAGGGGTTGCTCTTACTTACCCAAAGCAAAAAAATGTCACTTTGAGTCTTAAGGTTTTGAAAAGCTATGAAGTAGCATGTGACCCAATGTTTCATTGTCTATGACGGGCTGATCATTCAATTTTGCATTTTTGTTCCATAGTGTTCCTGTTCATTTGTTTCCTGTAAAGCCTGTCACGATAGACTCCTGGGAGCTGGACTCCAATTGTTCAGGAGAGTTTTTCTCACCAATTCCACAACCCGTTTGTGAGTTGAACCCACAAGCAGTTATTAAGTGCCCCCAGCGTTCCTGGTGTGTGTCCATGCTGGACACCAGGTGCTCGAGTCTGCTGGACTACTGCTGTGTATCCCCCAAAACTATGACTATGGGGCCTACAAGGGGAGATGTCCAGGAGAGAGCCCCATCAGGGAGTCCTAGGGCCTGGCTGTGGCTCATAATAAGAGCCAGTGACCATCTGGGCACAGTGGCTCACACCTGTAGTCCCAGCAGTTTGGGAGGCCACGGTAGGTGGATCACCTGAAGTGAGGAGTTCAAGACCAGCCTGGCCAGTATGGTGAAATACTGTCTCTACTAAAAATACAAAAATTAGCTGGGCATTGTGGCAGGCACCTGTAATCCCAGTTACTTAGGAGGCTGAGGCAGGAGAATCGCTTGAACCAGGGAGGCAGAGGTTGCAGTGAGCTGAGATCATGCCACTGCACTCCAGCCTAGGCGAGACTCCATCACAAAAAAAAAAAAGAAAAAGAAAAAGAAAAAAAAGGCAGTGACTCGTGGACCACCCCTGCACTGGCCACATCCCACTGCCACAGTTGGTTTCTGGGGTTCATCTGCCAGCCTCCCTGGGACGAAGGGCATGTGTGGCTTTGGTCATTGTGCCCTCAGTCCTCTGTTTCATGGCTCAGTCCTCTCAATGGTCACCACACTGGGATACAGACTCTACTTAGCCACAGACTAGACGCTGATAAACCCCTGGGAACCCTTGATGTCTTCCATTTTAAGTTCTGACAATGAAGATAGGCTGGAGTGTGGCTGGAATTGAAGTCTATAATTACTAAATTCATCTTTGGGCAGGAAAACAGGATGAATTTTTCAATCATGCAGGCCCAGCCAGAGAGGTCTGTGAACCACTGCTTGGAACATCTCACCACTGAGGACAATATCGTGTGTTTAAGGCTCCAGTTTCCAAAGCAAATGGGGCAAAGCTAATGCTGGAGCAGGCAATGAGTTGCACAGGCCTTGGGCTGCATCCACCCTCCAGAGCCGGCCTCCTACCTGGATGTGTCTCCGTGGTCAGGGCTTCCGGGCGTGTCCTGCTGCTTCCTTTTTATATTCTGGCTGTTCCCAGGTGGTTGCGCAGACCTGGGGGTCTGAGCTGATGAAATCCTCTGAGCCAAGAGAAAGAGAAATTGGAAAGGAAATCAGATAGGAGTCTCTGAAAACACAAAAACATTTATCAACAGTGCACCAACCCCAGCATTCAAGGTAAGGTCATCACTTTTTCTGCCATCCAACGAAGCACCTACCATGTGCAGCGCTGAGCTAGGCTTTGAGGATATATGGGGAGCAAAGCAAAGGTGGCTGCTGCTCTCATACATCAGAGAAGAAACTAAGTTAAGCAATTCCAACTGAATGCTTTCGTAGAAAACCAAAACTGGGCACCTGTCATACTCTGAGGTCGCTTGCTCCCTAGGAGAAGTGGAACCATTTAAACTAAGGCTGAAAGTGTCCGGTTTGTTTGTGGCACTACTAAAATGAAAGCACATTTTCCTCCCTCCACCCCTGATGGCTTCACATACCAGAATTCAGCTGGAAACCCAGGGATAAAACTCACTGAAAGAAGAAAACAATGAAGCCTTAGAAATCTGGACCCAACCACCTGGGATCCTAACCACTCTGAGAGTTGGTCGCCTTCTCTTTCGCTTCCAGGATCAGCTTGTCCCCTGGTAGTTGATTTGTTGTTGTTGTTTTTATAATCTATATCCATAAAGACTAGTTGATTTTTAAAACCAGGATGCAAAAATATAAGGCTCAGTCAAAACTTTAAATCACAGGACAGAGATGAGATTTTAAAAAAACAAAACTCAAGTTAACTGATGCTAATTTTGTACAATATAAAAATCAGAAGATGGGAAAGGGCTGTTGTAAACCCGAAGCTGTGTCTCCCAAAGCAGCAATTGTCTTTCTTTTTCTTTTCTTTTTTTTCTGGAGACGAAGTCTTGCTCTGTCATCAGGCTGGAGTGCAGTGGCGTGATCTCAGCTCACTGCAACCTCCACCCCACAGGTTCAAGCGATTCTCCTGCCTCAGCCTCCCGAGAAGCTGGGACTACAGGCACCCACCTAGCTAATTTTTGTATTTTTAGTAGAGACAGGGTTTCACCCTATTGGCCAGGCTGGTCTCAAACTCCTGACCTTGTGATCTGCTCACCTCAGGCTCCCAAAGTGCTGGGATTACAGGCATGAGCCACAGCGCCTGGCTTATTGTCTTTCCTTTTGTTTCCCCAGCAGTGACCCTGTGTCGCCTGCCCCAAACAATACACACCCCTCGTTCTGGGATGGGGTCCACCTTCTTTTAAGAACAGTTCCACCCATACCCTCTCCCCCTGAGGTTCTCATGGAAAAATGCCAGTCATAGTGCCCCATGTCCCTGCCCACTGGAGTGTACATGACACTCAGGTCAAGCCAGGACCTTCTGCGGGATTCCCTGAAGAACCACAGTGGTTCTGGTTGTGGGGTTTCTATAGAAGGTGAGTGCGGGAGTCACCTGCAGCCTTGCTTCCAGCTGTGATAGAAGAAGCAACCACAGCAAGACACAGCAGATCTGGCAGGCGGAGAGAGGCCAAGGTGCTGGGCAGAGGGAGCAGCCCTGTGGGAGCTGTGGCCTCATTCTGCCCCAGCCGTCCAGGGGCCCTGTGATGAGGGGCCGCACGCATTTCCCCTTTTCACCTCAGCTGGTACAAGCTGAAATTCTGTCACTGGCAACTCAGCGTGCATTCCCCGGACCACCAGATCAGCTTGGAGGAAAACAAAGTATTCTGTGGTCAAACACCTTTGACAAGCGCTGCATAATACAGGCCTCTTTTAGACATCCACAGTGTACGTTAGCATGGCAAAGATTCTGAATTCTACAGCAGAATAAATTGCTGAATTTTAATTCAGAGTTTGCCAGAATTTCTTGACTACAGGACTCTTTGTTTATGTACCTCAGTTTAACATCTCACACGACTTGTGTTACATGGAGCACACATTTGAAGACAGCACAAGACCTCATTTCTTTCTCCCTTGCATAAATCTAGCAGATGGTGCAAATCTGTAGGACAGACATTCCCTAGCCCGTGGGCACCTTCGTGAAAATCAGAAGGTGGCCCTCTTCTGGGCCAAATGCATGGCCTGGGAGCAGATCATGCCACTGTGTGAGTTAGAAACAGCTTCCCCAGCCAGGCGCAGTGCCTCATGCCTGTAATCCCAGCACTTTGGGAAGCTGAGGCGAGAGGACTGCTTGAGCCCAGAAGTTTGAGATCAGCCTGGGCAACAAGGTGAAACCCATCTCTACAAAAGAGGAAATGGAAATGGTAAGGAAAGGAAAAGAAATGAAAGGAAGAGGGAGGGAGAGAGAAAGAAAGGAAAGGAAGATCGAGAGAAAAAGGGAGGGAGGGAAGGGAGGAAGGGAGGAAGAGAGGAAGGGAGGGAGGGAGGAGGGAGGAAGGAAGGGAAGGAGGGAGGGAAGGAAGAAGGAAAGGAGGGAGGGAGGGAAGGAGGGAAGGAGAAAGGAAATTAAAAAAAAAAGGCTCCATTCCTCCCCTCACATTGCTCACAGTCTAGGGAGACAGACCCCAGCCCCAGGGCTGCAGGGGTGTGAACACAGAGGGCACCCAAGGAGGACAGTAGGCATGGCTCCTACCTGGGGGTGAAGACAGCCTCCAAGGTCTCCCAGGAAGGGAGAGTCCTCACCCATCAAACTCTATCAACCTCTAGCCCAGGGACTTTGTACATTAATCTTGGCGTTTCTGCAGCACATGTAAAAGCAAATCATCTGCCTAGTCTGCACCTGGGGACCTGTTGAGAGCGTCAGACTTGTTGGATGGGCTGCAGTCCTTGACCTTCAGACACCAGCCTGAAGAGCAAGCTAGCTTTGGCTAGGTTCCCCCTACCTGGTGCACTTCTCTGAGTGGTTGGCCATCTGTGTTCATCCCATTGTGTCCAGGGTAAAATGTAATAGATGCTTCATCTCTCAGGCACGCATACATTCTAGTGCTAACATGAATACTATAGTTCTAAAATTTTCCTTCATTTTAGCTGAAAGACAGAAGGTGGGGAAAATAAAACAACAGCAGCCAGGCACAGTGGTTCACACCTGCAATCCCAGCACTTTGGGAGGCCAACGCAGGTGGATCACCTGAGGTCAGGAGTTCAAGACCAGCCTGACCAATGTGGAGAAACCCCATCTCTACTAAAAGTACAAAATTAGCTGGGTGTGGCAGCGCATGCCTTGTAATCCCAGCTACTTGGGAGGCTGAGGCAGGAGAATTGCTTGAGCCGAGGAGGCAGAGACTGCAGTACACCGAGATCACACCATTGCATTCCATCCTGGGCAACAAGAGCAAAACTCCGTCTCAAAATAAACAAACAGCAATAAATGGTCCCATTATTGAGCATTAACTAATGCCAGGCACTGGGCCAGTATCTTTCCTAAACTATGCCATTGAATCTGCACAACTGTCTTATGAGAAAGATGGATATTTGTGTCCCTGTTTTAGAGCTGAGGCTTTGAGAGGTTTAGTAACTGTGCCAAGACCACACAGCAGTGGAATCTAGACACAACTAATTATCTCTGATCTCAGAGCCAGGACAGGGCATGGAAGTTTGAGCCCTTCCATGGGGCAGTGTTGAAGGAGGCAGAGGGAGTTGGGGATTGGGGATGATTCCTCGCACAAGAGGGGCTGCTAACCCAGAGTTGGCTTGACCTCCATGCTGGCTGAGCCAATCCCTTAATGAGTGCCCCTGCCCTGCCCCGAGGGGCCTCAGCCTCCTGATCTGTGCATCCAAGGACAGTCATTCCCATAGGACAGTGTCAAGACCGTGGAAACTTTCAATCACCTTCAGTTCACACTCTATAATCATCTTCAGAGAAAGATTTCTCTTTTTTTGAGACTGACTCTCACTCTGGTGCCCAGGCTGGAGTGCAGTTGCATGATCTCAGCTCACTGCAACCTCCGCCTCCCAGGTTTAAGCAATTCTCCTGCCTCAGCCTCCTGAGTAGCTGGGCCTACAGGCACGTGACACCATGCCCGGCTAATTTTTGTATTTTTAGTAGAGACGGGGTTTCACCATATTGGCCAGGCTGGTCTTGAACTCCTGATCTCAAGTGATCCACCCACCTTGGCCTCCCAAAGTACTGGGATTATAAACATGAGCCACCATGCCCAGCCAAGATTCTTTATCTATACATCATAAATCTTTGAATGCATGATTCTCACATTTTACTATAATAACTCGAGATTAACAATACAGAGTGAGTAGTATTTTTATATCAGGGTTCTGGATTTTTGAAATTTTAGCCCAATTCCTACTTGTCTGACTGCCATGCAAATCTCAGCTCCTAACACCTGAGGCCAGGCTCCCCTTTCAATCACCACATGACTTGCTGATAATATTCTGCCAATAATTTAGCAGATAAATCTCATGTCCAGTATTCCAGGAGTAAGGTTTCTTTAACTGAAATCTGGAAATAAGGCGAATAACAGCTCAGACAGATGCAAACAACAGATGGAATAAGGAGACAGAGCTTTGCTCCAAGTCCGGGGGGAGAAAGGGACCACGTGTACATTTCCTCAGGCAACTGATTATAACAAGGGCTTGGATTTGTCTTTGAAGAAGAAGATAAAAAGGCAGTCCTCTCTCCCTTTTCAGCTCCACTTTTTCTTTCTTTTTTTTTTTTTTTTTTGAAATGGAGTTTTGTTCTTGTTGCCCAGGCTGGAGGGCAATGGTGCCATCTTGGCTCGCTGCAACCTCCACCTCCCTGGTTCAAGCAATCTCCTGCCTCAGCCCCACAAGTAGCTGGGATTATAGGCATGCGCCACCATGCCCAGCTAATTTTGTAATTTTTTTTAGTAGAGACGGGGTTTCTCCATGTTGGTCAGGCTGGTCTCTGACTCCCGACTTCAGGTGATCCACCCGCCTCAGCCTCAGCCTCAGCCTCCTAAAGTGCTGGGATTACAAGCATGAGCCACTGCTCCCAGCTCACTTCTCTTTCTAGTAGAAAGCTAATCTGCAAGAATGATACTTGTTCTCCCCAACAGAAACTTATCTGGATGGAGGAGTTAAAATAAAAGTAACAGAAATATCTGTGTGAGGCCGGGGGGCGGTAGCTCACACCTGTAATTCCAGC